CATGTGTGAATCAGCCAGGAAAGAATCACCACCCTAATTTTGCTTTATGACCAGGCAATACCCAAAGAGATTATTAGTGTGAATAAATGGAAAGAAAGGTTATTACAATATAACCCTACTTGTTAGTATGTTTTGTGAATTTTATGATTTTTTTTGTACTTTTTCTTGAAGATGCTGAATAAAGCTACAATACACTATTACATACATCCAATAAAGTAATGTTTTTGTAGGTTTTATGTTTTTTTTGTTTTTTAAGTAATCAATGATGAGTTTTCCACTAAAGATCATGTAAAGACCAAGACAAATTTCCTATGGCAAAGATGAAGCTAAATGACAGACAAAAATAAGTGAGCCCCACAGGGCCTGTCTGAACAAGGACAGCAAGACGACCTGCTAGTCGCTTTCTCCTGCATGCATCCTTCCCTGGACAGGAAGGAAACACCCAGGAAAAAGGGAAACAAACTAAAAGTCCTTCTCGGCTACTGCTACTCCTTGAAAGTATCACTTTTCGGTGGTCAGTTGTAACCAGTTTTTTTTATTCATATATATATTTTTTTTTTGCTTAAAATGTAAGATTTACGTGTAAGAAAATCATGCTAAGAAGCAATAGTACACAGTTGAGGAAAACAAGAACTTTTGTCAAAAGAAAAAAATATATAAAGCAAGGAACACTGTATGAAGTGTTCATGGAGTTAAAAATGTTGCATGGTGCTTAAAAGAAAGCTTTGTGCAGTTTCAACTTGGGAAGTCAGAACACAGAGCAGACGACCAGACTGAAAGATGCTGGGGTCTTCTGAACAGCTAACACGGCCAAAAACTGATATAGACCTATGCTGCAACAGAATGCCAAGATTCACATAGTAAATGCTGTAACTAACATCCAAAACTGCACACTTAGGAACTTAAAATAATATATAAAATCCGTAGTAAACATCGATACTTGTTATTTTTTTTTTTTTAAATGTGGCAAAGGTTGTAGTTTCTTGCTTGCCCTAGGTGCGCTGCACAGCAAAAACACAATTATGCAAGGCGGTTATGTTTTCGGTTAACTTGAGGATAAGGAAGAAAAGGGGGGACCTTCTTGTGGGGCGACTGGCTGGGCAATTTCCGAGGAGATTTCATTGAGGTTGCTGGAGTGGGGAGTGGGGGGAACTCTTCGTCGTAATCATAATCCATTTCCTCCTCGGAAGATGACATGTACATCTCCGAGCTCTCGCTATCCGTTCTGGAATGGAAGGGGCAATTGTCAGCACACTTCTTGTACATTGAGAGTAAGACTTTGGGTGATGAAGCCATCTGACAAATGTGACGATGAAAATCTCATGGAATAAAATTATTCAAATTCAAAAACATATCATCTACAAACAACTCAATTTCCATATAGACCAAGAGCAACCCAAAGACTTGGGTCTTCCTCGGGACATAAACCTACCTCGGCCTTATGATAGGAGGATGAGAGGGACCCTGCATTTCAACGATGGTGGGCAGCCGAGTGGTGAACTTGTCGGTGGGTCTCAGCTGTCGAAGAGTTCTGTTGGAGAGCTTCCATACGAGACGCTGTCGGTGGGGGGAGTGTCTCTGGTTCTCATACTGATCCATCAGTTCAGCGACTACCTTCTGGCACTTACTGAAGCTGTCGTCAGCCACCTGGGGAAAATCGAGGATGTTAAAGACTCTCAAGCACACGTCTTTGGTTTAAAATCCTGACTCCATTACTGTTTGGAAAATGACTGGCCACATATTGCTGCTCTATAGGTACTGAAGTTGAATAGGATTATCAAGCAAACATTTAAAAAAACTGCTTTACAGGGACTTAGGTTGAATAGCATTAGTGGCCATATATTTCAAAATGGGTGCTAAAAACGTTATACCTTACCTTGCATATGTTTTGCAGATGATCTATACAAGCATTGTGAAGTTGCTCGTTGGCTGCATCGTGCCTCAGTTCCAGTGCCAGAAGAGCCAGGGCCAGCTCTGACGGTCTGAATGTGGCAGCTGCTGCGTCGCACTCCACGATCTCCAGCTTGTGCACGAGGGTGGTGAGGGATGTGGGCAGTGAGGGCTGGGCCAGGTGTGGGGCAGCCAGGTGGGAATGAGCGGCATGCAGGAGACGGAGCAGCGTGAGGGGCGTAACGGGTGGCTGGCAGCGCAGGTCTGTGGCCAGCTTGTCCATGATGATGCGCTCCATGCGGGTCACATCACCTGACGAGCATTTGCACTGAGAGATGGTGGTGAGGTCTCTGGTGTCAGGCACCACCTGGGGCACGTCCCTCAGGTGGCTGTACCCAGGGGTGAACTGGCATGAAAGATGGAATGCACTCACCGCAATGCAAGACAAATGCTTTGGCTGAGCCTGGAAAGAAACGGGGGGAAAAAACTACTTTAAAAAACTGGAACACTTCATGACACAGCTCATAACAGCTTGTACATTACAAAATCATATCCAGAATGTTGAGCAAACACATGAGTTTTCCTGCGGGCTCTGTACTCACCTTCATGCGTGTGAGGAAACGATCCATGATGTTGACTGCGTTGAAAAAGGTATCTGGTGGAAGGTCATACCACACCTTCAAGCAGCGCAGCACATGGGCCGACCCATTGCGCATCCTCATGCTGATCTCCCCACCATCCTGCTGGAAGACGAATCAGGCCATTAACATCACAGTATGAATTACGCTAGTTCTTCATATTTCCAAAACACTATATTTCTGCCATTCCGTATTAACAAAACAGAACAGAACTCGACCAAAATAAAAACCATGACAGGTGATTCCAAGTTAAGCTACTCCATCCCACACACACAAACAAGATTCATCATGATCAAAACAAGTGTAAGTAAACAAGAGGAAGAACAGACACACAACCCCCCTCCCCCCCCCACACACACACACAGTTTTAGAGAATGACAGAAAAGCCTCCCTCTACCTTGGCAGGGGATAAGCCTAAACTTATTAACTATCTCTCCCCAGCCAAGTGCTTCCCTTGATTGTGTAAAAGGGGCAGGAGGAGGGGAGGGTCAGTGTGGGAGGGAGAAGAGGGGGGGGGAGGAGAGGGATAAATGTGTGAGGGAGAAGAGGGGGGAGGGGGATGAATGTGGGAGGGAGAGAAGGAGGTAGCTGTGTGGGAGGGCGAGAAGGAGAGAGAGAGAGAGAGAGAGAGAGAGAGAGAGAGAGAGAGAGAGAGAGAGAGAGAGAGAGAGAGAGAGTAACAGGAGATGGCATATTAGCACAAGGATCCCCCAACAATGAAGATGGCATGCCGGCGCTGTTGCCGAGATCCCCTCACAGACCTTAATACTGGATGCTACCTTGGAGAGATAAAGGGAGGGGGGGGGAGGGGGGAGGAGAAGGGAGGAGAAGGGGGGATGAGAAGGGGGGAGAGGAGGGGGAGGAGGAGGACGTCGTAGAGGAGGTAGAAGAGATACAGGAGCAGGGGGAGGAGCAGGAGGGAGGAGATGGGGGGGGGGCGCAAAGAGGAGTGCCAACCCTGCGCCAAGCCAGTGGCTCTGGCGTACTCGGTAACCCCTCGCCACCCCTCCGAAGGCACTGCTCGCTCCCTAAGCCACGCTAATCCTCAGGCTTCGCGCTTCCTAAGAAGACTTCTCGAGCGACAGGACACTTAAACCGCCACACTGCCCGAGAATGCTTAGCAATAACGAAAGGCTGGGACAATGACTTAAAGTAGGTCACGTGACAAGACGGATCTCTCTCTCTCTCTCTGCCCCCCCGTCCCCTCTTCCAACGCCCTACCCTATCCCCTATCCTCCCCACCGGCCGTGACGATCGTCCGTTTGCAGGAACGTCGCCCCCCACGCCAAGAACCGACGTCCTACATCAATCCGAACATCGAAGAACACTCTAGAACTTCCGTGGGGTCACTCACTCTTCCGTTGCGTCATCAATATCTCTCCTCCTCTGCCTCAGGTCTACCAACATCAGACCCTTCAAAACAGCGTCTCCGATCTCCCCCCCCCCCCAAGACCAAACACGAACATAACAGTTGCCGAGAACCCCCCCTCCCCCCCACACCGATCGCACCAATAATCCATACAAAAAAAGGGAGACAGTAACGACGACTACTATAAATAAACCGACGTCATCGCGCGGAGGCGTCGGCGAGGTTGGCAGCCCTGTGCGATGCTGACTGAGGGGCCCGCTGGGGGTGGACTCTGGACAGGGGGGGAGGGTAGGGAAGGTGGAGGTGAGGTGAGGGGAGGAGGGAGGAGGGTAGGGTAGGGTAGGGAAGATGGAAGGGGAGGGGAGGGTAGAGAGGGTAGAGAGGGATGAGTGAGATGGGGGGGAAGGGGGGGTGAAGGGGAGCTTACCCATGGCTTACAACAAATGTCACCTTTTCGTCTCGTTTGCGCTGGCTCCGAGGACGGGGAAGCGCTGCCGTGCGGGAGAGGGCAAGCAAAAGCACGAAACTACCTCGAGACACACGAACTACATAAGCTAGAGACACGGAACGAACGATTAAGAGCGCAATAGTTGGCGTGAGAGTGGAGGTGGGGGACGTAGGTGGAGGGGGGGGGAGGGCAAAGCTGCGGGGAGGAGACGAGAGGAGCGGGGAGGGGAAGGGAGGGGAGATTTAGGGGCGGGGCTCATGTATTTCCCACTCATCAATACTTGCTACTTTGAACTTTATCTCCCAATTAAACAAACGCCCGTCGAACTACGCGTTCCTCCCCGTTCGAATGCAACGGCACAAGACAAGACTACCGCGCCCAACAACCCACGGCGATGAACAAAAAACGAAAACGCAGTAGTCTCCCCCAACAAGGAACGGATAGGGAGGGGGAGGAGGGGAGGAGGGAGACAGGATGGGAGGATGGGGGGGGGGCCGTGGGACGGGACACCATCACCCCCCCTCCCCCTCCTCCTCCTCGCTCTCTCAACTACCTGGACCTTTAAATTTGAAAAGGTTGTTCGGGAAGAAAACAAAGGGGGCTCCCTCTCCCTCCCTCCCTCCCTCCCACCCCATCCCCTGCCTTCCCTTCCCATCCCTCTCCCCCCCCGACCCTTTCGTTCCTATGGCAACAGCGATTCCCGAAACCTATGCGCCGGGCCTGGAATGGGAATACCAAAGAACAAGGAATGCTTGTAGAAGCGTGGTCTCCCCCCCCCTCACCCCAACCCCCACACAATCCACATTACTAACTGTTTTTTCTCTCTCTATCTGCTTGTGGTGTTGCGTCAGCCTGGCATTCAAGCGAGCAGTTCTATTATATCTATCTTCGAGTTCCTCACATACTATGGATAGCTGTAAATTTCATAGCCGCTTTTATTTCGGTTTAGAAATAATCATTGAACCAACTTCGCTCAACCGACGACCTTATCACAACACACAAGAGGAAGACACCAACCAGACAACCTAGCAAGGAAGAGGAAACGAGATGATAAAAAACAAAACAGAGAGGAAACGAGACGATAAAAAACAAAACAAATCAGAAACCAACAAAACAGAAGTTAACAATCAAAAAACAAAACCTAACATCAAACCCACCTCCCCCCAAAAAACATTTAAAAAACCTAAACCCCCTAAAAAAAACACATTTAAAACTCTTACCTTAGCAGTGTGCGGGAGTGCCAAGGCGGGCTGGTACTTAGGCTCGAGTGCCAAGGCCTCAAGCAACGGCGTCAGCAGGTCTTGGCCCTTCTCTGCTGCAGGTGGAGACGGAGCACACGCCATCGTCTCTGCTAATTACCAGCTCACACTACACACAACCCACACCACACAGCTGCACCACCTGCGGGAGAGGGAGAGAAACTGTTAGGGAAGGGTCTTGGCGAACTGGAGGGAGAAAAGGGCGAGATATTTTCTCAGTTTGAGGGAGAAACAGACGTAATTTTTCTATCTTAGTTTAAGGGAGAAACAAACGAGATTTTTATTCTTTTTCTCAGTTTGAAGGAGAAACAGACGAAAATGTTCTATCTCAGTTTAAGCAACAGACGAGATTTTTATTCTTTCTCTCAGTTAGAAGGAGAAACGGGCGCGAATTTTTTTCTTCCTCAGTTTGAAGGAGAAACAAACGATTTTTTCTTTCTTTCTCAAATTGTGGGAGAGAGAGAGAAAAAAAGGACGAGGTCGTAAGCAAAAACTGTGGGCGCGAGGGAGAGGATGTTATCTCGGTAATGTCCTTATCGATTGAGGCCTTCCATGGGCTCGCTGGAACAGGCTCCTCTCACTCGAAGGGAGTCTCTCTCGAACGCCTTTATATTGGACACTCGCAGGCAATTACAATTTACTATCAAGATGAAGATCAACAAAACAAAAAAAAAATACAAAAATAAATCAATATATGATCACACACCAGCAGAGTACAATCCCCCGTTGAACAAAATAATAATAACAATAATAAAATAATCAATAAATAAAAGTCTCACCATCATCACAAACACGGAATTTCACCCCCCCCCTCCCCTCTCCCCCCACCAAACAAACAAAAACAAATAAAACCAAATAATCCTCGTCGGCAACACAGGTGCAAGAGAGACGAGGAAGAAGAAGAAAACTACCATCGAGACTTTTCTTCTCTCTCTTTTTCTTCCTTTCTTCTCCTCATTCCCTCCTTTCTCTCACAATTCTTTCTTTCACTTCCCCATCTCTTTTTTCATCGTATTTTCCTTCCATTTTTTTCCATCTTTCACAAATAAATCCCTACCTGCCAGAGTTACTCCCGTGGCGTTCAGTCCATGGTGATGCCTTGTTCTCGGGGCATGCCTTAGCGACGACGGAGCGCAGGGGGGGCGGGGCCCTCGAGCGGCGGCATAAGCGGCGCCGGAGAAGGAAGGAAGAAGAAGAAGGAAGAGAAGGAAGACGACGAAGGAGGACGACCCAGTAGCAGCAGGAGGCGCAGAAGACGGCGGATCCCTGGCCCCTTCTAGCTCTTGCCCCCGACGGCCTCTCTCATGGCACGCGAGAGAGGGAGAGACGGGGGGGGAGAGAGAGAGAGAGAGAGAGAGAGAGAGAGAGAGAGAGAGAGAGAGAGAGAGAGAGAGAGAGAGAGAGAGAGAGAGAGAGAGAGAGAGAGAGAGAGAGAAAAGGGGCTTCAGACGCGCTGCAGCTTCATGGGGAGGAGGTGGAGGGGAATCCGAGTCTCGGGCGCTGAAGCCGTTGTTTGTGTGTGTGGGGGGAGGAGGGGGGGAAGGGGGAAATATCACAGACAGGATTTGTACGGATGAGGCCGAGCGAGCGAGCTCCCGAGGACCGTGCTTCCCCGACCGAGGCTTTGTTTACACTGAGCGGCGGCGGACGGAGGAGGAGGAGGAGGAGGGGGGGCAGGGGAGGGGGGAGAGCCGGGCCGCCGCACGCACCCGCCTCCGACGCGCGAACTAGTTCCCTGGTAACGCCGCTGCTTTTGGCCACGTCCTTTGCTGTTTTCGGGCGAATTTTGGGGCCAAATCCCTCTTCGACAACAGGAGAACCGTCCCAGAGGGAAATCACTTCCCAAAAAAACCCAAACAACGACTTCCTGCGAATCGCTTTGTTCATCAGCTGACTCCGGGCTATTGACGTCTGTCTCTCTTTGCATTTTCGAATATCAACTCCTCCCGAGAAACAAAAACCCAAACCCCTTCTCCCATACGTCAAACCACCTCCGCCATTACCCAAAACCAAATCAAACCGACGAAAATCGAAGGAAAAATGAATATCCGAGGCCCAAATAAACCTCCAAAATAAACTCCCTCGCCGCCGACACCTCGCAACTCGCCCAAGCCTATGACGAGTGAACCTTGGAACAACCTACGGTGTTCAAATAGATGTGTCCGACGGATTTCACTTATTAAAACGTCCTATTTACTACAGGGACTCAACATACACACACACTACTGCACTAAGGGTCAAGAAATACACACACACAAACATATATACATCATGGATAGGCCTACGCACATAATCTCACCAGCCTATGTGATGATTACGTCATGACCGAACACCTTCAAAATATTCAAGAGGTGTTTACGTCCTGTCAAACTCCCCAACACTTTTACGAAACTGTCATACATACACCGTATATATTCACACACGTTTCATTTAATCCAATAGTTCCCCATTCTTGTCAATGCCTCTCATCAATGCGCTTACGATACATGTCAAGGCCAGAAAATATATCCATAGAGGTAATATATATTCTCGATGTGATGAAACACGGCTATGTGAGGAATATATCACACACACCAGCGCCTCAACATTAATAAGACAAAACAGCTCTCATTCCCTTCAGGCACGAATATAGGAAACTGTTTCCATGTATTGGATATGTACACGGAAATTGGAGGAGGAGAGAGAGAGGGGAGGGGAGGGGAGGGGGGAGGGGATGGGAAGGGGAGAGGGGAGGTGAAGGGGAGGGAGGGAGGGAGAGAGATAGGTGTAGAGAGAGAGAGAGAGAGAGAGAGAGAGAGAGAGAGAGAGAGAGAGAGAGAGAGAGAGAGAGAGAGAGAGAGAGAGAAGTGAAGAGAAGAGAAAAGAGATAGAGGAAAGAAAAGACAGACACACTCACTAGGAAGATTTTAAGAAACGTTCCTCAACGTCAAGATACGTATTAGCATGTAAAGTCAAATTTATGTCCAGAGTAAAGGCACGCGCCATCATCACCACAGTCTTGGAAAACATCCACGGGACCAGCTGTTGCGGGGGGGAGGGGAGAGAGAGGGGGAGAGGGAGGGTGGTGGGGAAGGAGAGGGATGGGAGGGGAAGGGAGGGGGGGAGGGCCCACTGACGTCACGAATACAAAACGAACTTTCTGGGACTGTCACAACATCGACTTCGTTTCCGGTGTCGTAGCAGTTTTATCGTCAAATTCCGCTTTTAAATTTCTATTCCAAGTTATTATAGGCATTGCTAATATATCTACTACAGCTTTACCTGTCATAGACAAGCACTCCCAAAATAATAATAATAATAATAATAATAAAATATTAAAAAAAAAAGGAATATTATCACAAAAAACTCACCTTTCTTCTCAACCCGATGACTAGTTATACTCCACACTCATCGCTCTCCAAGTTCTTAAATAACTTCGGTATCACATAAGTTCTGATCACACGCAGAGGACATAGAAAAAAAAAACTTTCTCGCTTAAACTGCACTTATAAACTTATCCACTGAATATCCGATAGATGGCTGTCACGAGCAATGACACCACTCGCATCTCTTCACTCCAGCGTAATCCATCAAAATCAAAAACAAATAATAATTATAATCCGAAAATCGCTACAAGATTTCTTCTTCTTTTTTTTTTAAATCCACTTCCGACACGCTATAGGCCTATATATATATACGTATATATATCCAACTCCACGTTCGACGAAATTCACAATTCTCAACGAGTGACAATTTTTTCTTTCTTTCTCCAATGAGGTCGCGCCGGAGAGAACGACTTCCTACAGCGGGCACCGGGGGACCACTACGGAGAGACTAAGCTGCTTCTGCTAGTGGCTATCCCTGTTAGGGTCTGATCCTCTCCTGCTGCTGCTGGCCTGCCCTCGACGCCCCTCCCCCCTGCTCCTCCCCCCCTGCTCACGGCCGTTGCGTCGCGCGCGCGTGAGTGTGTGTGCACGAGTACACGTGCGTGTGTTTATGTTTGTGTATGGATGTGTGTTTGTGTGTGTGTGTGTGTGTGTGTGTGTGTGTGTGTGTGTGTGTGTGTGTGTGTGTGTGTGTGTGTGTGTGTGTGTGTGTGTGTGTGTGTGTGTGTGTGTGTGTGTGTGTGTGTGTGTATATCAGTGTATGAGTGTGTTCGTTCGCTCGTGTGTGTACACGCGATGACGTAGGCTTCCGCTCTCGACTCTAGAGATAGTGAAAACACATACGCACAATCCAAGAAAAAGAGGAAAGAAACAAATAAACAAAAACTATCAACCACTACATCCTTCCCTCAAACGAAACAAAAACAAACAAACAAACTAGACCTCCACCAACCACAAACAAAAGCAAAACAAAAAACAAAAACACACATAAAAACGGGGAAAATACACGTTTTCTCCCACTTCTGGAAACACCAAGAAGCCAAACGTAAACGGTTGCATCACCACTCGACGTCGAGAGTGGGCGGAGCTTCGAAAGTCGGGGGTGGGAGGGGCATGGGGGAGGGAGGGGCATAAGGGAGGGAAGGGCATGGGGGAAGGAGGGGCATAGGGCCGGGAGGAAACGGTGGGGGTGGGGGGGGGGCATGGGAGATGCTTGGGGGAACTTGTGCCCGATAGGGTTTGGTGGGGGAGAGGGGGAAAAGGGGAGGAGAGGGAAATGGAGGAGGAGGAGGAGGAGGAGGAGGAGGAGGAGGAGGAAGGGAAAAGGGAGAGAGAGAAGAGAAAGAGGGAGGAAGAAGAGGCGGGGCAGGGCCATCAGACACGAAACGAGGATAACATTCCAATAAATCCCAACGAAATAACACGCCAGAATTAACCCCCCCCCCTCGCCCCGTGTGCATTGCAGAATACAAGTGACATTGCAAAGTCACCAGAATGGAAAAAAAAAAAAAAAAAAATAGAATACAGAGAGAGAGAGAGGGAAGGAGAGGAGGAGGGGTGGAGGGAGGGAGAGAGGGAGGGAAGGAGAGAGGGAAGGAGGGAAGGAGGGAGAAGGTAGAGAAGGAGGGAGGGAAGGAGGGAGAAGGGAGAGAAGGAGGGAGGGAAGGAGGGAGGGGAGAGACAGAGAGAGGGAAGGAGGGAGGGAAAGAGGGAGGGGAGAGACAGAGAGAGGGAAAGAGGGAGGGGAGAGACAGAGAGAGGGAAGGAGGGAGGGAGAGAAGGAGGGAAGGAGGGAGGGAGGGAGAAGAAGGGAGAGAAGGAGGTAGGGAGAGGAGGGAGGGAGGGAGAGAAGGAGAGGAGGGAGGGAGGGAAGGAGGGGAGAGACGAGACAGAGAGAGGGAAGGAGGGAAGGAGGGAGGGAGGGAGGGATGGAGACGTCTCGAAATCACCTCGCCCAGGTACAAGGGTCATAAAAAATAGGCGAACAGGTACTGTGGGAAAAGGTAATATCTGGTAACAGGCAGATTCAGACGTCCAGGCGTGAGAGCAAGAGGCAGCAGGGAATAGGAGGAAAGAAAGAAAGGAAGGAAGAAAAAAGAAGGGAAAAATGACGAATATAGGGAGAAGAGAGAAGAACAAAAGAGAACAAACGAAGCGAGAAAGAACAAGGAAAAAAAAACACGATAAAGAGAGCAGAGAAAGACTAGGGCAAGAGACCGAAGAAAAGCCGATAAAAGAAAGAAAGAAAGAGAGAGAGAGAGAGAGAGAGAGAGAGAGAGAGAGAGAGAGAGAGAGAGAGAGAGAGAGAGAGGGGAGGGGGGAGGAGGGACAGAGTGCGTGGGTAAAGGAGTATAGATAGCCAGTCGAGAGAGCTCTAGGAGCTAAAAACCCGACGCAACTTTTGGCAAAGGACCCCATGAACCATTGGCCAGGCGACAAGACCAACTGCCTCGTAACATTATCAATGGCGATGAACGGGGAGGAGGAGGGGGAGGGGGAGAGGGAGAGAAAAGGAGAGGGAGAGGGAGAGAGCGAGAGAGAGGAGAGAGAGGAGAGAGAGGAGAGGAGAGGAGAGGAGAGAGAGAGAGAAAAAAACACCAAATCACTCTTTATTTCTCTCCTCCTTTTCACACCTAACGCCAAAAGAGTCAACAGGCATCATGAACACATTTTAACGGCTAAAAAACCATGAAATTCTGAATGACAACACGCTTCTTTGAGCCTTTTAATCGCCAATGGTCATGGGAATTCATGAACTTACACATGACGTTTTAGTTAATGGCGACGTAATATCTATGAAGCAGATAACGAAACCATACGAAGCAAAACATCCAGATGAAATGATAATAAAAAAAATAAAACGGAATAGCTATAAAAAAAAAGTTAAAATCAGAAAATTAAGTAATACTTTTCCACCTAAACCTAACTAAAACAAGGAAAGCAAAATACACACTTCAAGAGCATGAAATCCAAAAAACAAACTTACCACACACTGCAAATAATTAATCCTTCTCCCTCCTCTTCTTCTTCTTCTTCTTCCCTGGTTCTTCTCAACACCAAAGAACCTCAAAATACCGGCCTGAAGAACAGAGCGCCGGCCACGAGAACAGACAACCGAAAGGCTCTCTCTCCGAACGTTCTACTTCACAACCGGCAGTTTTACGCCACGCTACGTTATCATAAAACTTGCGCGATCCTGTCCCGGCCTTACGTCAGCCGCGAGCGAGTGTGTCGGGAGCCGGGCAGAAAGTACCCGGGTATCGGATCGACGGCCTCTGAACGTGCCCCGACTTGCTCTCGAGGCAGAACTTTCTAGCTCCGGGGAAAAAGGGTTGCGCTCGAACCCTCTGGAGGCCTAGGTGGCTCTGTGTCTGAGGAAAGGGGGTGGCACGGTGAAAACGTATTTTTCGCGCGCGCGCGTGTGTGTGTGTATTTTATATATATATATATATATATATATATATATATATATATATATATATATATATATATATAGAGAGAGAGAGAGAGAGAGAGAGAGAGAGAGAGAGAGAGAGAGAGAGAGAGAGAGAGATTCATGTTGCAAACGCGTGCGAGACATGTCGGCGATTCGAGAAGCTTCTGTTCAAAGTTTCGTCCACATCATGTACCGAACACGTGCAGAGACGCCGAGGGCAGAGGTCACGGAGTGGTGGCACCCGAAACTCACTCAACACTTTCTGTGGCATCCCTCCCCCCCCTCTCCCCTTCCCACTACCACCACCTCATACGAATTTACCTTAACAATCATCAACTGCATCTTCACCCGTTCTATCAATCGCTGGAGACCGATAAAAATAAATAAATAAACAAATGAATAAATAATACACAAGTTATATACTCAAAAAGACAACCATCGACTCACCAGCCGAATAAAAACCGACTTCAACTTACAGTACAAAAACTTCCCTTCCCGCGCAAATCCTCAGGCACTCCCAGGCACTGTAATCACGTCGTCGTCTCGCTGCAAACTCAAAATCAACTCAATGATATTCCTCCAAACGTAATTTTCAAAATCAGCACTCATGAATCTCGCCGTCGTGGGTTATGGGGACTTCGAAAGCAAGTCAGCTGTTTGCTCGACGCCTGCACTGATAGTATGCACAATCGCTCGTCCTGCCGATATCAGCTTCGTTGTTTATTCCGGATCTCTGTTCTAAGCCGCTGCGTAAGACACCAGGTATGCGAGATCAGTAGGGCAGTACTTATCGCAATAAATGTAAGATTTGATAAATACGCGCACACGTACCCCCCACCCCCCCACCCCACATACATAAACATACATACATACCTGTGTGTGTGTGTGTGTGTGTGTGTGTGTGTGTGTGTGTGTGTGTGTGTGTGTGTGTGTGTGTGTGTGTGTGTGTGTGTGAGAGAGAGAGAGAGAGAGAGAGAGAGAGAGAGAGAGAGAGAGAGAGAGAGAGAGAGAGAGAGAGAGAGAGAGAGAGAAACGTATAGAGACCCCGTCTAGCTCACGTCCCACCGGGGAATCTCCGCCCAAAATATTCCCGCAGAACCGCCCGCCTGCCACGGCCTCCAAAATCTCGGTAGTCCTTTCTCTCTCATTGCAACCTCCCCCCTCCCCCTCCCCCCTCCATTCATCGAGAGGAACGGACACCAGAGTGACCTCCGCACACCTGCAGAGGACACGGGGCTGTAAGCTCAACGTGCTCGAACCGGTGACGTCACGACGGCCGACCAGCTGATCGCTCGTGACGTCATGGTGAGGGGGGTCCCTGCATGGAAGTGGCGTTGAATCCGCTTAATTGACTAAACTCTTGAATTTCTCCTAATCAAAACGTTTCCCCGACTTTTCCCCGACGTCGATTCGCCAACATATAAGCGACAGATGACGGACGGGTTGACGAAGTGCCCCTCGAGAGAGAAATGAAACAAGGACAGAGGCGCTGACAAAGCGGGGGCCAGGGGCGGGCGACGGGCTAAGTGTGGAAAAGCACGTACCCAAGTTTCCTCTCTCTCTCCCTCCCCCCCTCTCTCTCTCCCCCCCCCTCTCTTTCTCTCTCTCTCCCTCTCTCTCTTTCTCCTGGGAATATTTGAGTGAAAATCCTGTTGGTCCACAGGATTTTCGGGGTCGGTCTGGGGATTTTCTTTTGAGAGGAAGGAAATTGAGAAATGGAAAGGAAGAGGTTGAGGAAAGCAGAGGAGGAGAAGGAGAGAGGGTAAGAGAAAGTGAGTGGATGGGTGAGAGAGAGAGAGAGAGAGAGAGAGAGAGAGAGAGAGAGAGAGAGAGAGAGAGAGAGAACAAGAGAGAGAGAGAGAGAGAGAGAGAGAGAGAACAAGAGAGAGAGAGAGAGAGAACAAGAGAGAGAGAGAGAGAGAGAGAGAGAGAGAGAGAGAGAGGGAGAGGGAGAGGGAGAGAGAGAGAGAGAGAGAGAGAGAGAGAGAGAGAGAGAGAGAGAGAGAGAGAGAGAACAAGAGA